CCTTGCCGTGAGGTGTACGAACTAGCATTAACTGTGCACATCTGAATGGGCAGCTTGAGTCAAAATTCTGACTTTTCATATATCTTGGTCGTAACACTTTATCGGTGGTTTGGGCTAACTGCATTCCTAGTGCACAGTAGAAGGCTTTTATTAGCGCTAAGCTGTTTTTATCGGTAAGAGAGATCACAGTGGTTTTGAAATTATTTGGTTCAAAAATGTTTTTAAGTAGGGTTACTTGAAACACTATTACCTCTGCAAACATGATTCTGTCGTAAACGTCGTCTCATGTCCCTAATCTGAATTTGGATTCTTGAAGGCAATTTTATCATATAGATTGGCTCAAGAAAGTAGGCTCATAATCCTTGCCTCTTGCCTGCATATAATGCATTCCATTCTAGCGGTATGCCTTCCGTTGTCTTCAGAGTGTTATTTTGACACCATCGAGCGATGAAAAAATAAAAAAATAATGCTGACCTCATTCTCCAATTGTCAACTAAAACTGTAGCATTCCCCACCGTCAATGCCAAATAGTCTGTGTGATGCGAGGTCAGCAAATACTAACTCCCTCTATTTCATGTTTTTTCATAAAGTAGCAGTGAGAACAAAGTCGTATGAAGGCGCAATGCGTTAATCGGTTCCAATGTATGCACCCATCGGAGCGATGGGACTAGAGGGGCGAATGCCAAACCATGGACAACAGTTCTTTCATCAAAGTAGTCATCACTAACTCGTATTTAGGAAGTAGGAAATTATTCGAGTGATCGCCCGTTTTCTTCACCAATTTACAGTAGGGAGCAAGGTTAGCTTGCCCTTACTGCCATTCTTGATTCTAAAATATATTAATAGGTGGTTGTCATTGTAGCGAATGTATTTATTTAATATTTATTTTCAATTATTTTGTGTAGAAAAAAAAACAAGCAAGAAGTAGATGGAATGTAAAATAAGTCAGGCTTCTAAAAAATAAGGGAAAATCTTAATGATGCGCTCGTTGTAGAATTGTGATTGTATCCTTACTTGTCGAACGGGTACCAGCATTTGTGTGGGATTGGGGGAGGGTTAGTGAAGTTGCGTGTGAATGGGCACTTAGTTTCATGAAATTTTGCGCGTGGAATGACAGGTAGTGATGAAAGGCGAATGTGTGGATACCAAGGCTAAAATATACCAAATGGCTATGTACAAGCAGGTCGGAATTATTGGTAGGGCGCGACACCGTAATAAACTGGGACGAAAGAGAGAGAGAGCGAACAACAGGATTGACTGTGACAACAAAACATTCGGAAGATTTGAGGAATCACAAACGTTTTGCGATTTGGGGTGTCACGTGAAGATCAGCCAGACCGACCAATGCCGCTGCCGTAATTAGGTCGGTTGATTCGGTAGAAGTTTCATTCACATCAGCCTCCATTTTTAGGGCATGCTGCAGACCCATCCCATGAGGGGTGAGTCTCATGGATTTTGCTGTCATGTCCAGTGGGACGTCTTCTGGAGCAGTACTAACATCATCTTCCTCTAAACAGGCCTGCTTAACAAATCTACGAGGGTTGATTTGTTGGCCACTGGCACCTGCACCTATGACCAATTCCGTCTCAGGCCACGAGTTTGGCTTATTTTTACTGTCTAACTTCCCTAATGAACGCTTACACTGGTCCGATGCATTTACAGATGTCAATTTTTTAATAACTGGCAAAAGTGAAGGCTCTTCCTCCTCCCCACTCGGCAACCATGCATCAGCAGAAGTACCAGCAATCTCACTAACAGAGAGAGACTTCCAGTAAGGAGTGAGAAAGTGAGATAATTGCTTTAATGTCGCTAATGCAGCGGGATGAGGCTCTCTAGTTCTTTCCCGATCTGACAGTCGATACAGAAGTGGAGCATCTTGTAGACCAGTGGTTCTTTCATAAGTTGATCGTAATAATGCTCGTATACACGCCTCAGTACAATCACAGAGACTGGTCAGCTCATAGCCTCCCTCTAAGCAGAGAGCAAGGCGACCACCAGCAATGTCCTGATTTGTCAGTAGCCGCGTCATCCAACCGAAAGCAGCTGGACTCACATTATATCCGCCTAAATTTGCTGGATGGCCTGGAGCTGCATCAAAGCCAGAGGAGACTAAAATCATGTCAGGTTTAAACTCCTGAGCTACTGGTAAAATTATATATCTAAAAGCGGCAAGATATTCCGCATCTGCCATTGTGATTCCACTTGGCCAGGCAATATTGATTGTGAAACCTGCGCCCATTCCTGCACCAATTTCTTCTATTGCTCCAGTTCCCGGAAAAAATGCTCCATCGTCGTAGCGATGCAACGATATATAGAGTACTGTTGGATCTGCGTAAAATACTGTCTGTGTTCCATTTCCGTGGTGCACATCCCAGTCAATGATCAAAATCTTGGTTATCTGGGGATGTTCATTGGTCCTTTCAATGGCCTCAGATTTTTCGAGGACTGCTAGCCCATAAG